ATCGAGCTATTTCAAGATCAGATCGTATTGTGCTATAAGTGCTAAGAAAACACTAATTGAGGGATGATTGATTAATTGGGAGAACATCTCATCGTAATCAATACCTTCTCATTGTGCAAATTATTTTACCATTAATCTTGTTTTGTACCACACATCAACTGTATGAAATCCGTCCTTCTATGCATAAACCCATTTGTACCCGATGACTTTCCTTATTTAGGAAAGCTTAAAAAAACCTCCAAGTACCATTCCTTCAAAGAGAATCCAGTTCTTCAACCATTTCCGCTCTCCAAAGATCACAATTTGGGATCTCCACCTCTTCTTTATAGTGACAAACAATTTCTACTTCAGTAACTGAAAGTGCAAATGCAATGTGATCACTCAACCACGCTGGTTTTATGACATTATGGTGCGTAGTCCTACTCCTAGCAATTAATTCTTGAATAGGAATCTCATCCACAATATTTGCTTCCACCTCTTTCTGAGCACTATCAACATATACCTTCCAAGATTCAATGGAATCAAGTATTTGAGTGGGAGTGGACAAACATTGTGGAACAAAAAGAGTTGCATCAAACTAAAACTTCTGCTACAAATATGTGGTCTCAGTAGAACTCTCCACTTACTTTGAGTCTCAATTTTTCAATAAGACTTATCTCGTCTAATGTGGCATCTCTATTAATGACAACATTCTTTTCTGATTGATCATACAACTTGAAGCCCTTGAATCTATGACTAAAGCCAATGAAGATCATCTTCTCTGCATGTGATTCCAGTTTATCATTCTATATGTGCTAATAAACTGGACACCCAAACACTCTCATGTGCTCATAATCTCTAGTAGGATGCATTGACCACACCTTCCGTTTCCCCAGTAGCGGCAGAGGGTGAGCGGTTCACCAAGTGATAGACATAGTCAGTGGCTTTGGCCATATAGACTATAAAGAACAATATTGGTTAAAATACACAAAACTTTCTCCACCAAAGTGTGATCCATCTTCCATGTCACTTTGTTCTGTTGTGGTGTCTCTCAAAGAGTGAAATGGTGCTACATACATGCTTCTTGCACTTTTGCAAGAATTTATCTGAAATGTTCTACACCCTTATTGTCTGATCTAATACACTGAATCTTTTTACCTCTCTGAGTCTCAATCCACTTCTTCTAAGTTATGAAAATTTCCAGCACCTCACTTTTGTGCTTCAAGATATACATGCAAATATACCTGGATTAATCATATCTCCACCTATTGAATGATGTTATCTTTTTTGGGCCCCAAACATCTATATGAACATACTCTAAAATACATTTTGTTGAATGGAAGACTAGAAGTATCAAAAGATACCAATGTCTTCTTGCCAAATACAGAATGTTCAGAGAAATCAAGCTTGCAAGTGGTCACTCCTTTGATCAATCCTTGTTTCACCAACGTTTGAAGTGAAGCCTCTCCAACATGAGCTAGCCATATATGCCACAACATAGTGATGTCAGAAGAATCATCAACAACAACAATCGTTACAACAATTATACTGCATTGAAGATAAAAAAAGGTTGTAATGGAGAACTCCTTTCATAAAAACTAGTGCTAGATGACATGTCTTCAGAACTCCTGCCTCAATAACTACCTTATAAACATTGGACTTAAAAGCCCCAATTGACATCAAAATTTTCCCGATATCTGTGACATGTTTAACATTAGTCAGCTCTCTCACAATACCATGTTGCATCCCGACAAAGATACTTCATGCACCAATAGTACGACAAACTTGATCGTTGCTCATAGTCACCGCACCGCTAGCCAACTCCTTATACGATGAGGACAATTATGATAAGTAGCACTTATGTCCAAAATCTCACATGAATCATCTGTAAACAAAATGCAAGAAACTGCAGATAACAATATGTCTGAATCAGCCTCTTCACAACTTTTCACAATGATATTAGATTTTGCCTCAGATGCAATTTTCTTTTCCTTCTTTTTTAGCTTCGTATAATATTTCTTCTAATGACCATTCTCTAAACAAAAAATACACTGTTTTTTCTCAATATTGTGCCAACAAGACTTGCACCACTTTTGAGAAGTGACACCACTGCCACGTTTTTTTTTATTATTCTTCTTTTTCTCAAATCTGCTTCTTTGGATTGTAAGTGCCTCAACGAACTCCATCTTTGTAGACTCTTGTACATTCAACATAACTTGTGATTCAACAATGATATTATCACTACGCCATAATTCAAAGCATTTCCTATGAATGAGTGTCATCGTGAAGTTATCATGCTCATCTGGGAGCGAACTCAACAAAAAGTGTCAGGTCTTCATCTCTAACATTCTCATCCAATTTTAACAGATTTGTTATCAACTGTAAAATTATTCATGTGTTCATCAATAGTAACCCCCTTGTCTCATTTGAAATCTGTAGAGTCGACACTTCATATGAAAATAGTTTTTCACGCTCTTCATAAGATATTTGTTCTCCAACATTCTCCACAAGTTTTTTGAAGAATTCGTCCTCATCGCCTCATATTTAATCACCTGAGAAGCAATTTTGTATCAAGTCATAATCACTCTGTTTATCTTCAACCGATTTCTCTCTGACATTTCTACATGGCATTCCGCGCTATCTAAGGCTTCCTCTAGATTCAAAGAACGCATCGCATCGTCACATACCAAAGTTTCATTTATCGTCTAATTTCATCACATCGACTTTGACGTGATGCGTAACTATCTCATGAATACCTGGAATAAAGAAAATAAAATAAAATAAACAATAAAAAAAGATTTACTTAAAGAATGAAATAAATTTCATAAAATAAAAATTCCTTTTTTTTCTTAAATTCCTTTTCTTTCTTTTTCCTACTACTTTTTTTCTTTCCTTTTTCGAAATTTTCTTATAAAAGAATTTCCTTTTCCTTTTTTTTCCCAAAAAAAATTCCTTCTATATGTTTTCCTGTCTGCCTTATTTCCTAAAATTACATTTTTTGTTTTGTTGAAGCTTTTCTTACAAAAATTTCTTTTTCTCTGTTATTCACGTGAAGCTTCCATTGTTTCACGCAATTCCATCGGACTACTCCCTCGTCCGGACTTCACATGTAGAGATATGCTCGGAGTCCAATGAATCACCTCCACTTCCATCGGACTACTCCCTCGTCCGGACTTCACATGCAGAGATATGCTCGGAGTTCAATGAATCACCTCCACATGGAGCTGACAGAAAAAAAAAAAAACTCATTTTTCTGTGATCCGACCAGGTAACACAGAGGAATATTCCTCCTGTGTTATTCCGAGTTTTTCAGGTGTTATTGTGGTTGTATTGATGTGTTATTGTGATATTATAATACCGTGAATATTCACAGAACACAATAACACATGAATATCACCACAATAACACCTGAATGACACAGAATAACAGGGGGGGAATATTCCCCTGTGTTAAAACACACAGAATAACACGGGGGGAATATTCCCCTGTGTTAAAACGAATTTATATTTTAATTTTTCTGTCACCTCCACGTGACGTGATTTATTAGACTCCGAACGTATCTCTACATCCGAAGTCTGGATATAATATTTGTTCCTCTTCCACCGTTCCTCCTATTGCCGCCGGTCCGCCTGTGGTCGCTTGCCTGCCACCGATTTCCACCGGATTGTTGCTGCCAAACTCGTTGGAATCGCCGCCTGTTGCCGCCTAACCAGCCGGATTCGCAGCTAAACTGTCGAGCCCGTTGCAAATTCCTGCAATTGCTAGAACTTCACACCTAAATAGCCGACTTGCTGCCAGCCTGCCTCTGAACCTCTAAATCTGTCAAGAAAGCACGTCGGACTACCTGCTGCAACAAATGTTGGTAACACACACCATATTTGCTTCTATAAAGCCGAACCACACTACGATCACGATCTTGAAGTTCTGAAATCAATTGGTATGCGAAAACAATATAAAATGTAGAAATTCACACAATAATGATCAAACAAACGATTTACGTGGTTCGACGTTAAAATTTTCAGCCAATGTCAACAGAGAGAGAGATTTCACTAGCACTAGATGTGGAGAGAAAAATTCTAGGGGTTAAAGTTCTACATTTCTCATCATAACTTTTTCACAAACCCTAAGTTCTTTTTATAGTGTAAGATTAGAGTATACAAGTAAATAAAACAACAAGACCTAATTACCCCGAATTACAATAATAGAACCCTTAAATATGACAGAAAGACGGCTCAGATTTTTTTCATAGTTTTGTTATCGGGATATTTTGTATGCTTATGCATAGGAGTGTACACGAGCAAGCTTGAGCGAGCCTAGGCTCGGCTCGTGTTCGATACACGAGCAAGCTTGAGCGAGCCTAGGCTCGGCTCATGTTCGCTAGTTAAAAAATACTCATGTTCAACTTGTTTATATATCAAGTGTGAAACAATTGTTCGTGTTCGACTCGTTTGCTTAGCCAGTCTAACACGAGTTATTAACGAACAATGAGTCATTTTGACAGCTCTATTCACACAACAATAGGATGTTAACAATATGAGTGAGATTTAAATCTTCTTATTTCTATTAAAGTATTCATTTAAATGAAATTTAATATATTTTTTTGTTTTTTTAAATAATGTTTTAATTGATTATCAATTTTTTTAGTCTTGTAGCAGGCATCAACTTCTATATATATATATATATAGATATAATTATTTTGAGCCACACGAACATAGAAATTATTAATGACTACATAAAATAATCTTCTTAAAGTAGCTTAATAATTTAATACATAAAAAAAATTAATATTACTTAACAATAATTTCATCATTATCATTAATGATTATTATTAAAATTATATTTGAACTGGTCAACATAAACTCTCAAATAACCAAATAAATTATAAAAAATTAATCAAACTTAACTCTATTGTGCCAAATAACTCGCAAAATTTAGTTTTCTTCAAATTTATTAAGTTAAGATTTATATATTTATTAAATCCTGCTTAAGTTGGGCCAAACCTTTTAAAAAAAAACCAAAAATTAAACGCGATTTGTGACTTGACTGGAGCTGGCAGCGCTGTATTCTCACTCTCCTGAAACACGCCGACAGGAAGTTAATCGACGATCCATCTGGCGATCGCTGATACATCAGCTTATCGCCGGCGGCTCTCGGAATCCCTCTGGACAGAAATATTGTCTCTTCGGTATTTTCCGGAGGATGACCGGGTACCCTCCTTAGCATTGTTTCTTTGCTCTGTCTTGAAGGTTCGGTTGATTCTTGTTCGGCGAATGGTTGATGCCTAATTGGGGTTTTGGATTGTTGGGGAGAAGTGCTGATGTGGTTAGAAATGTCAGTCTTTGATGGTCGATTTGGTTCAATTTGCACCTGCTTTCTTTTTATGGTGATTTTCCCTAGCTCAGGTGATATGTTTAGTTTGATATGATTCTAGGGTTGATGACGAAAAATTAAATTTGCTAGTTGTTATGCCATATTGATTTGTGAATATGCTGCCAAATGCTTCCAAGCTTTGGAGGTCATATATGTTGTCCTAGCTTAACTGGCTTGGCATTCTTTAAAAGTGCAAAATAAATGGCTTTTCTTAACCATGGAAAAGGTGTTCATCTCTTTTAAGTAAAAATGTGTAGCTTGTGAGTCTTGTTGGCATTTCATGTTGCTTAATCAAATATGGAGAAATGGGAAGTTAGAAGGTTGTGTTTGGGGTCCGTCCTTAGTTTTAGAATATTGAAATTAAGGGTAGGACATTAAGTAATGTTTTAAGATGTATACTTTCAAATTCATTTTGAGTTTGGAGGTTAGGGACATGGAATAATTTGGTTAAAAAATTAATTATTGAATCATCAAAAACTCAAATGCTTTCAAAATACTTTGAGGAAAAGTATTTTGGTACTGATATTTAAAAATAAAGGAGTTGTTTAGGCTTATGGTAATTATTGGGGAATAGACTGATTAGTTATAGAATGAAGTTATGTGAGAGGTCAATGAACATAGTCTTCGAAAAGGTTATTTGTAAAAAAAAATTATCCTGTTAAAGAATTAGTTTGAATTTATGCTAGAAAAATATAGTATAGAGGTAAGTTTTGTTTTAGTTAAATAATGATAAAATATGGGGAAGGAAAAAGTTATTTTTGTTGTTTTTATTGATTTTGGGAAGGTGTATGTTTATGTATGAGAATTTTTAAAGTTTAAGAAAAATTGTTAAAAAGTTAAGTGGAAGTGACCAAATAAAAAATTTAAGTCCTTACTCTTTTATAAAGAAATAATCTCTCCTGAAAACGTTAGAAAGAATAAGACATTCAATTATATTTTTCTTAGCATCAAAATAGAATGAATTTTATGCAAGAATAACATTGTTATTTTTAACAAAAAAATTCATTTGGAGTTCTTATAGAATGAACTATACATCCTATTAAATTTAGAAAGATAATTAAATCCCTAGCTGTTATTTCTTATTATTTATTGCCTATTAGCTTATTATTCTATTGTTTTTTTTACTTTAATCTATTTTATTCTTTTCTGATTTATTTTATTTTGTTTTATTTCTCTCCTTTGTTGTGCCTATTGTAATTGTGTTTAATTGCCCTTTCTTCTATCAATAAAATTATGCTGCTCAGTCACAAATTTGACATTTTATTAGAGCCATGACTGTAACCCCTAGAGGTTCTACCTAGTAGAGCCATCTGTATGTCTTCTCCTACAGGATTCCTGCCGGCAACCATCTTTAGGCCATGGTGCTACTGTTTTTCCATGACTTGTGGCCTCCCTCTATAACCTACACTACTTAGAAGTGCCACAGATCTTACTGTTGCTTATTTTTGCCAATTCTTTCGCATCACATCCTATAGTCACTTGAGAGCAGACTGCCTACTGTTGACGTTGGGCGGTGCTTTGGGATTGCCCACTTCTGATCCTTACTAAAGTACCTCTTCTGATCCTCTCCACGATTCAAGCCTACCCCACCGAGAATCCCACAAGGGTAGTGTCATCGATCAGATTGCCTACTGTTGACTCAGATTACCTTGCTGAGTAGAAGTGTTGCTTCAGATTGCCTGCTGTTGATTGTTAGCTGCTCTCAGCTCTAGCTCTACAACGGGTAATAAGGATGCATCTGACCCGACCCCTGTCTCTATCAGCATTCTGGCAATGTTGGGGTTAAAGGCCTCTGTTTTTTCCCTCTGCCGGTTCCAACAGCAGCAGGATTTCTCTGTTCCAGTGCAAGTTCCAACAAGCACAACTGTCGACCTTCCTGCTGTCTGTTTCCACCAGCCATAGGTTCAGTAGGAAGAATTCCTACGGTTATCCGACGTTAGTCTTCCCTGCGGGGTCCGAATTTCTGCAGTGATATCCGTCTGTCGTGATCATACCGAATTTCATCGATGGCTCTGAACCTCGATAACATCTCTTTTGGTTCATTTGGAATTATGAAGCGGGATCCTCTCTACTCAAGCCACTTTCACCAAGATTCGTCGGGAAGAAAATCGGAGACTTGTCATGCTTGACACTTCTACTCTTTCAGTCGAATCATCCGCATTGATCTCAAATAGCACTCAATCCTCGTCCATGTCACCTTGGTCGATCACCCCACTTGTGATTACTGCCACAAATTCAGCCACACTTGAGAAAAGCGTTGGAAACTTCACGGTAAGTCGGCTTGCAAATTTTTGGCCAAATCCTCTACTAGCAAGAGTCTCACGGCAACGACCGAGTTTACCATGAATCAACCGAATCCTACCCAGAATATATCAGAATTCTCTGAATCCCTGAAAAATCAGATAAAACAATTGATCAAGCTTCTAAGATCCCATCAAGTTTTTACAGGTTTGTTGACCTCCCACGCTCAAAAAAGCACACTTCCTGTGACTTTCATGATTTGTTCCTTCTCTAGTCTGTGGATTATTGATTCATGTGTCATAGATCACATGACTAGATGCTTACAAGTTTTCTCAATCTATTATTCGTGCTCTAGAAAAAATACTGTTAGGATTGTCGATGACTCTTGTAGCTCCATTGTTAGTAAATGGTCAATTGTACTAACAACAGATCTAACAATGAAGTTGTTTTACATGTTCCTCAGTTGCAATATAACTTGTTATCTGTTGCAAGTTAACGAATGATTATAATTTTATTGTTAATTTCTTTAATGATGGTTGTGTTTTTTAGGATCATCGTTCGGGGAGGAAGATTGAAACTACTGAGAGGGTAGCTGAACTCTAGTACTTCTAAAAGAAGAGCATGAAAAATACATATACACCTCTCGGGAGTTGTAGCTTATTTCAAGGCATTGAATATCCTATTATGTTATTACATTAACGTTTAGGTCATCCTAGTTTTCAGTATTTAAAAAAGTTGTATCATTTGATATTTTTTAATAAAAATCTTTCTAATTTTCATTGTGAGACATGTCAGTTAGCGAAACATCATCTGGTCCATTACCCATGCCACACTTACACACCTTCCCTTCTTTCTCCCTCATTCATAGTGACCTATGAAGACCTTCTCGCACTCCCAGCTACACCAATAAAAGATGGTTTCTAACTTTGAATGATGACCACACTCGAATGATAAGTGTCTACATTTTAAAAGACAAAAAAGTTGTTGTCACATTCCAAAATTTATACACCTTCATTTTAACTCAATTCAAAACTCCTATCCAGATCTTTCAGATTGACAATGTTTGTGAATTTTTTAACTCTATTTTAGGTGAATTCATAGTGAGTAAGGACATCCTCCACCATAACTCATGTACGGACACTTCTGAACAAAATAGAGTAATCGAGAGGAAAAATCTCTACCTCCTCGACGTTGTTCGCTCAATTATGTTTCAATCCAAAGGCTTGAAATGTTTTTGGAAAGATAACAATCTCATTACCCACATATCTCATAAATAGAGTTACATCTAAAATTCATACATTTCGAACCCCCTTAGCAATGCAGATGCCATGCTTCCCACCAATCGGATCTGCGTATTAGACCATAAGATTTTTGGGTTTACTGCCTTTGTTGGGAACATTGCCCCCAATCAGAGTAAACCTGATCCTAGATTCGTAAAATATATCTTCCTTGGCTACTCCGCCACTCAAAAGGGGCATCGGTGTTTTAATCCCACCACTAACAAAATATATGTAAGTGTTGACGTCTTCTTCTTTGAAAGCGTTCCCTATTTTCATAGCTTGACCCCAAGTAAGAGGGAGAGCTTAGGTTCTTAGACACTATCCTTTTTCCTACTCCTATGGATGATCCCCCATTATTCCAGCTATTGAAGAGTCCCATGTACCGGTGAGTGCACTGTTAGGAGAGTTCCTGAATCCGGTGAGTACGCTATCTCCTCCTCCCACCATTCGTGTCTACACTTGGTGCACCCGTTCCAATGCTCCTACTTTGGAACCTGCTACCTCTTTAGAGGACCTTGACTCCACTTCAGGCGACATCCTCAGTGCGACTCCTCCGAATGAGGATGTGAGTTCTCCAATTAAGGTATGTAATCAAACATACTTTCTCTATTCTATGTCAAAATATGTCTTTTTGCTATTTATCACTGACTTACAGAGCATTTGCCACTACCCTGACAGAACACAGAACCCTGCTACTATTGTGGTTGCTTTTGCTGATCCAGCCTGAAAAACTATAGTAATGGAGGAGATGAATGCCCTTTAGGGGAACCATACATGGGACTTCGTCAATCTTTCTCATGGTAAGAAAGCTGCAAGATGCTGATGGATTTTCAGCACCAAGTTCAACTTTGATGAATCCCTTAAACGCAATAAGACACGATTAGTTACCAAAGAGTACTCACAGACTTCAGAGTTGACTATAAGGAGACATTTGCTCCGGTGGCTAAGTTAAACGCTATTCGGATCCTGTTGTCTCTTGTTGTGAATTTGGATTGGCTTTTTTTCTAGTCAGATGTGAAGAATGTGTTCTTGAATGGAGAGCTTACAGAAGAGGTCTACATGTCTCTCCTTCCTCGCTTTGACTCTACTGCCTCCAAATGGCAAGTGTGCTTGCCACGAAAGTCTCCATATGAGCTAAAGCAGTCCCCCAAGGTCTGGTTTGACAAGTTCACAAAGGTTGTTGTGGGCCATGGTTTTACTCAGACTCAATCGGTTCATACTCTCTTATTCCGACATTCCTTTAATGGGCACATAGCTAATCTTATTGTCTATGTTAACGATCTTGTTCTTACAGGTATTGATCTCCCAATATTCGAGCCCTTGAAAGACATTCTTGATAAGTTCCTTGAAACGAAGAATTTGGGATTTCTCCGATATTTCTTAAGCATGAAAGTGTCACGATCATCTCGAGACATTTGCATATTACATCACAAATATGTGATTGACCTATTGGAAGAGAACAACCTTCTTCTGTGCAAACCAGTGGCTGTCTCTTTGGATCCCAATGAAAAATTATCTGACATTCTCAATGCTGTGCTTGTCAACAAGACTCATTATCAACACCTTATAGGGAAACTCATCTAACTTGCCCATACTTGGCCCGACATATGTCATTCAGTTGGTATAATGAGTTAATTCATGCATGTCCTCTATGAACACAATTTCCAAGCTGTCCACCGGATTCTCTACTATTTAAAAGGTACATCTGGCTCAAGTTTGTTTTTCTCTCGTCTCACCTCTCGGTCTATTACTGTTTGTACACATGTTGATTGGGTCGGGTCGGTTCCATGACCGACGTTCTACCTTAGGATATTGTTCATTTGTATGGGGAAATTTGATCACATGGAAAAGCAAAATACATTCTATGGTTGCTCGGAGAAGTGTTAAAGCTAAATTTTGGTCTATGGCCTTAGGGATTTGTGAAACCCTCCGGTTACACATCATGCTCCATGAACTTTGTATGTCAAGCATCATGTTTGTGAAACCCACTATAGCTATTTGTTATAATAAGACCGGAATCAACATTGCTCACAATCCAGTCCAGCATGATTGTACCAAACATAAGGAGATTGATAGACACTTCATTAAGGAAAATATTGAGTCTGAGGAAATATGTGTGCCTTTTGTATCTTTCAGTGGTCGACTAATGAATATCGTTGTCAAGAATCTTTCTCGACCTTTGTTGAACGACTTCAAATTTAAGTTGAACATAATTGATATCTATGCTTCAACTTGAGGAGGAGATTCAGATTTATAACGACAATTAAACCCCTAGCCATTTTTTCTTATTATTTCTTGCCTATTAACTTATTATTTCTTGTCTTTTTTATTTTATTTTGTTTTATTCCTTTCCTATTTATTTTATTTAGTTTTATTTCTTTCCTTTGTTGTGCTTATTGTAATTGGGTTTAAATATACTTTCTTTTATTAATAAAATTATGCTGCTCAAGTCACAAGTTTGACACTTCCTATAAAAGTGGCATTTTATGAAGTAGAAAGTGAATTCCTCGAAAGCAAACAATTAATGATCTGTCTTAGTAGTCATAGAAAGCCACTAAAGACTTATAATTAGTGAAGCAAAAAAAGATTGTGTGTATTGGATTAGGTTAATAGCTAAGAATAGTAGGGATAGTAGAATCTCCATTACGAAGCAAAGAGACACGAACAAGAAATCGGAGAATGTCGGAGGAAGCTCTACAAAATATTGTACATCTTATTTCGTATTATGGTAGAGCTATCTCTATATTGATTTTTTTTTCTTGTGACTTGTGATGAGCTTAGAGATTGAAGCTAGTGGCTCTATTTTTTAATCTTCATTGTTTGAATGCTAAATAATAGCTTCATAGTTTAATTTTTGTAGTTTGAGTGTTGAATGATGACATAATTCAAGGATGTTCGACGACTTTTGGGATTGATATGCTCCATTGTTGCTGCCTCTGAAGAATTGTTTGTTAGCATGAAATTAATCTTTTCCCTTTTCCCTTGCTATTATCTCCTAAATCCAATAGTAAACTATATATTTGCTTAGTCCTCCTAGACTAGCGAATCTTAAGTTTTTTTTTTCTTAAGGCGATTTTATTGTCTTATGTCATTTAATGTTTTGCTAATCCAATTAATTATTTGTATGTTTCCTGTAGACCATCATGGTTGGTTGATAGTAAACGAATTGCCAAAAAGATAAAAAGTGCATCAAAGAAGGCAGATCCCACTAACATCCAATGGATTAGCAACCCCACTAAAGCTTGTCCACGGTGCAACTACATTCTCGATAATAGTGATGTAAAACTTTTATCACATGCAATTTCGTTGTTTGCAAATAATTTTCTTTCTTTCATATACAGTTCTATTGTTGGCAAATGCAATTTTTTTATCTTTCACCCAAGTCTAATAGTAGATAGTGAGGTAAAAAGTAAATTCAAAGTCTATAAGGCTGTTTTTAATGTTCTTTCTTATAATTTCGAAAAAAGGGAACTTGTAAATGATTTTTGTTAACGTTTCTTTTATACTTGATTTTTAGATTCACATGTAATGTCTCTTCATTTGGTAAATTTCTGGAGCTTATGTAATTCTTTGATGGGTGGCTCCTATGGTTTTGTTTGGAGACTTGTGGAGAGTCGGTAAGTTGATGGTTTTTAGTGTGCAATTTGAACATGCTTACGTATATGCTGTCTGGCTTGAACTCTTGACAAATTTGGTTGGAACATTCAATTCACACTTTCAGTTGTAGCTATTTAGTTGAAATGTTACATATTATTTCATTTGTATGATTATTAGGAACCAATTATATTTATAATGAATAGCTACTAATTTAAGTTCAAGATATCTTGATTTTTGGCTTTGTTCCATTAGATTTCTTTGGAACATTCCATGTTTAAAACTATGGTACATTCTTAATCGAAATACTGCTACCTGCCTTTGGTTTATTTATTTTGATTTTAAGTTTGATAACATATATATTTAAGGTGTTAAACAAATTTAATTCTAGAACCAGTGATTTAAAAAAAAATCTAATTTATTGTTTAATATATGTCGGTTGCTCAGGTAGCATCATATAGGTATTACAATTGTGTGATCCAGGCTTTACTCTAGCACCTATATATCAACACAATGTTAGCACTTTGTAAATCTCTTGATATTGTTTATGATGCAAAGTATATCTTTTCTTTCTCTACTTGTGAAGAACATCCACAAATGATGAAGCTGCTTACTTCATAACGGTGCTATTTTGATTGCTATTATAGATAATTTTCTTAGATTGAAAATTTTGAAGTTTTTAGTATTTTGTTTTTTATTATTATAATATATTCTTATAATTGAGAATATTCTATATTTTTTATTTCTATTTTATCTCTTATATTCGCTACTTATAGATACTTGTATTAGTGATGAAATCACTCAAAAATTTTAATTTTCTTAATCAAGCATTTGAGGAGGTTTAATCATAACCTTAGCTATTGTAACCTTTCAAATTTCTTTTATATCTTGCATCTCATCCCACCTGCACTCGTTGTGCTCTCTTGCAAGTAATGCTCACATGTGCAATGGTTTCATGCCTCACTGGGCATGCGCCTATGCACGATCAGCGTGTTTCATGTCTCTACATTGCTCCATTTCTTGCACGACACCTGCTTGCATGTGCTTACGATGTGTTGCACCTTGTTTGTACAATACATACCGCTTGCACCCCCCTTTGGTTACATATTTCTCGCCTCACTTGCATTGCCACTTATGGTTGTTTCCTTTATGACCTCATCCCTAAATTACCTCTATGATTAATTTAATCTTCTTGTCCTTGGCTCTCTTGTCTCCATGGTGTTTGTTGATTGCTTCCTTTTCCCCTCTTATAAACAAAACCCTTCTCCGCTATTGATATTCCAATCAAACTCACAACAACAACAACAACAACAACAAGCCTTTATCCCACTAAGTGAGGTCGGCTACATGAATCCTTTTTCTCCATGGTCCTATTGAGTGTCATATTTTTATTTAATTCTACTAGATTAAGATCATTTTTTATACAATTTGCCCCCAGCCCAAGTTTTTTGAGGTTTACCTCTACCTTAACATAAATAGAGTTTAAAACATCTACCCTCCTAACTGGATCATCAAATGGCCAACATTTAATGTGACCAGGACATCTAAGAAGACTCTCTCTAATTTTGTCTACCACTGGAACTGGAACTACACCAACTATTTCACAGATAGATTCGTTTCGCATTTGATCTCTAAGTGTCAAGCCACTCATCCACCTAACCATTCTCATCTCAGCAATACTTAACTTTATTTTATGCTTTTCTTTTAAAGACCAACATTTTGCGCCATAAAGCGTTGTAGGTTTCACCACCATCTCATAAAGTTTTCTTTTAAGTTTTAAGTCTAAGTAGTATTCTATCACACAATAAGCCTAATGCATTCCTCCACTTCAACTGACCAACCTGAATTCTACTAATAACATCCCCATCTATATCATCACCACTTTAAACAATAGACCCGAGATATCTAAAATGTTCACACTATTTATTGATTTGATCACCTATTGTTACAATTATATCACTAGAGCTGCTACTACTAAAATTACATATCGTGTATTCAGTTTTATATCTACTCAAACAAAGGCTTTTAGACTCTAATGTAAACCTCCATAAATAAAAATTTTCCTGAACTCTTTCTCGAATCTTATAAGAATAATATCACCAACGAAAAGCATACACGAAGGTACATCATCCTACAACTATCCAGCAAGAACAACCATAACTAAAAGTAAAAGGATATAAACTTAAAGCCGATCCCTAATGTAATCTAACTGAAATAAGAAAATACTTAGTCAATTATCTTTCTGTTTGAACACAAGGAACAACTCTTGAATACATATCTTTAATGACTTAAATATATGTCATATTAACACTTCTTTCTTCTAGAACTCTCCAAAGATCTTCTCTTGGAACCTTATCATAAGCTTTTTCGAAATTAATAAAAATCATATGTAGCTCCTGCTTACTCTTTCTGTACTACTCCATCAAATCTCTAAATAGATGTACAACTTCCATAGTAGACTTGCCCGACATAAATCCAAACTAATTATGAGAAATCTTCATATCACGTCTTAATCTATGTTCAATCAGTCTCTCCCATAATTTTAAAGTATGACACAATAACTTGATTCCTCTATATTTTGCACTCTTGTGCATCCCTTTTATTCTTAAAAATGGGGGCCAAAATACTCTTCTTCCACTCCTCATACATCTTTATAGTTTTTAAAATATTAAAGAGTTTAGTAAGACAAGAAACTCTTAAATGTTCTTAATAAATCCATACTTCAATTAGAATATCATCAGGTCCTATTGATTTTTCACCATTGATTTTCTTTAAAGCCCCCATCAACTTTCTTTTTAGTAATTCGATGATAAAAATAAAAGTTTTATTATTATTAATGATATGAAGATCACTAAGGTCTATTGTATTTTTAAAAACTTCATCGACAAGTTTATCAAAATAGCTCACCCACACATGTTGAATATCTCTCTAAGAAAAATACTTTTTGATTTTCATCCTTAATACATTTTATTTGAATTAAATCATTACTTTACCTTTCTCTTTATTTGGCTAGATAATTCATATATTTTTCACTCTCTTTAGTATCTTATCTATTATAAAGATCACTAAAAACAAAATTCTTAGCGTCACAAATTATTCTCTTCAACTCCTTACAGATCACCTTGTACTTTTCCCATTTCGCTAAGCTTTTACATTTAAATCAACTTCTTTAATATAGCTTCTTATATTTTATTTTTTTTTGCGCATTATATTTATTTATAAAAAAATTTCATTTTCCAAATACATCGTTTGGTGTTTGTTTAATAGTGTTTGTTATTTTATCCCATATAAAGTTAACTTTTTCATGAACATCTCAAATCTTGAAATGCTCGTTAAAGTACATAACTAATAATCGATATTTAGTACTTAGATTTTCACTTAGATTGACCTTATAATCTTTACATTCTCAATGATCACTTTTTCTCATAAGAAATTAATCAGTGTGTATTTTATTAAATCCATTCTTATAAGTAATAATATGCTTATCTCCTTTCTTAAATTAATTATTAGCAATAATAAAATTATAAGTTAAAGCAAAATTTAATATAGTTCTATCTTCTTCATTAATGACTCCAAAACTATAGCCACCATGAATATTTTAAAAATTTTCTACCGCTCTATCAATATGTCCATTTAAATTTGCTTTAATAAAAATTCTTTTTGCAAGAGTCCATTTAAATTTGCTTTAATAAAAATTCTTTTTGCCAGAGATATCATTTGTATTAATTCTTCCAAGTCATTCCAAAATTTTTCTTTTGAACCTCTATTTAAACCTTCTTGATGCACATAGCACTTTTAAAATTAAAATTTTAATATCAATAACAATCTTCGGGACTCCAATTTTATCTCCAATTCTATTAATTTTTACAATATTATCTTTCAAACACTTATCTATAATTACACATACATCATTTTTAGTGTGATTCCTACATGATTACTAAAGTTTAAAACATAAGCCATCAATTTTCTTAGCATTTTTTCCAACCCATTTAGTTTCTTGAATGCATATGATATTTAGATATTTATCTTCCTATTTATCTTCCTATGAACCATAATATTTACTAATTTCATTAATTTACCTGTGAGAGTACTTATATTTCAAGATCCTATCATAATATTAGTTTCATGGACTAATTTCTTTGCCCGCATCCTTCCATAACGTGGGGACCCTTGCTTATTTGACATTATTCAGGCCTCGGTGTAGCGAACCTTAAACACTTTTAACTGTATTCAGATCCTATAACATTTCGCTTCCAATGGATGTTCTATCATTTACACATTGATTTAAAGGATTTATGTCATGATTTTCAATAAAAATTTTAGGCTGGCTGTCGACTATCTAACGTAACCCTCAATTTTCGTATCTAGGGCTTGTGAATCGGCAATAACAGTGTTTATTGAAGTTAGTCGCAATCAACCTCAAAGATGATAATTCTTTCCTGTGGTGTTTATTGACCGCTTCCTTGGCTCCTATTTAAAAAAAAAAAAAACCTCCTCCCCGCTTCCTTGGCTCCTATTTAAAAAAAAAAAAAAAACCCCTCCTTCCGCTATTTATATCACCCTTAACTCAACGGTATCCTTTGGAGTCTCCAGCACTTGAATTAACAAACATTAAGAAATTCTCCAATTGGCAAATCTTTGAATATATTATTCTTATATGGATGCTTAATAGACCTGAACCTAATGTTGCTCTTACTGTCATATTTTAGGAGATTCTTAAAATGATGCGTATTTTTTACTATTATACCTACCTTTAGGACAATAATATCTCTTAGGTATTTACTCTCTATTTTGACATGTGCCCTGTACTATAGGGTAACAAGTCCATTCAATATTACTATATTGCCACAAGGAACAAATGAGATGAACTTTTTCACCATCAGCCATTTACCATTGATCCCTCTACATGGCAACAATAAAACAAGGAATCTTTTGTTGTTAAAATTTTTCTTTTTGTCTCCATTCGTCGTTGCAATTTATTCATGCTTAATTGATGGGGCCACTTTGTTGTTATAAACATCTCCACTCACTCATGTATTCTATGGTTACTAGGTTTATTGCTCCATTTACTTCTAATATCAAATAGACTGTTCTTGTTGGCAACATGAGGTAATTAGGGTAAGCATTGTTGTGGCGGCCATGATAGTTGAGGTCATAACTCTTTTCCACCTTGCCGGCACTATTGAAGTACTAATGACTCATTTGACCATTATTGAGATTCAACTTGTCACCACTACTAACCTTTGCTGACTCAACTGGCACTCGTTCCAAGTATCTTTCATCTTCAGAAAGAATATGACTACCTCCTACAATACTACTAGCTAACCACCTCGACCTCTTATGCAATTTTATCTTTTAATTTAACTGTAAGTGTCATTTAGTATATCTTGGGTCTTATTTTGTGATGTCGCTTCCCATATAATGGATAACCCACAATTATTTTTTATCCCATATTATGATTTTTTTTTCTGTCATTATTATTTATACGTCATTCTCTTTAAAAAGTATCTATTCATCTCTTATATTAATTTTAGACAATGTCGTATGTCTTCCCCACTTTTTGATTAACTTTTGTTTTTAAATTGGTATCCCAAATCTTACAAATGCTTCATAATTTTCTCTCTCTGCCAGTTTTTTTTGAAGATCTCATCACTGGGAATACATGTCGTCAGTAAGAATACAAGTGGTGGTGTTGAAATTAGAGGGATTTTAAAAAAAAAAGAATTAGAGGAACTTACTATCTCTTCGATGTTGTATCCATTTTCTTATCCTCCATCATATCCCTTTATCAAAGCTATTGTACATCTTGGCAACATCCATTATCTTATCCTCCATCAGATCCCTTTATCCAAGTTATTGTCATTTTGGTCATCCTCTGCCACACCATCTTCAAGGTTCACTAATATTTCCTCTACTTGTAAATTTTAATGAGAAACTTGTGAATGTAGTGAACACCATTGTGCTCCTTTTGTGTCTACATCATTTCTTAATAATGCCCTTTTTGATTTGGTTCATTTTTATATCTGGGGTTGAAGCCTTGTGCCTACTCATCTGGGTTTTTTTTATTTCATTTCTTTTTTTGATTGATGACTACACCAAGGTTTAGTTAGGTATACCTATTAATGCTTTGGTCCAAAATATTCGTTGTTGTCAAGTAATAACAATTTAAGCTTTCACCTATCTCAAAATTCGTTACAGTGATAGTGTTGTTAAATAAATGCAGTTACAATTCTTTCCTGCTTTTGAATGTAATGTCACACATTAGTTATCATGTTCTTATACATCTCATTCAAAAGTTGTGGTTGAACATAAGTGGCGTCATATCCTCTGTGTTATTCATACCTTAAAATTTAATATTAATGCTCTATCATAACTTGGGAGAGATGCCTTAGTCAATTGTGGGTCATCCATATATATTTTTCCACTTCTTTATCCACATACTTCTATTTTTCTTTAATTCATTGAGCTCTTACATTTGTTTTGTCGACACTATTTGTTATGAAAGTGATTAACTCGCCATTGTACTTTTAAGTATTTTTTTGTCGCTATTATCATACTATAAAAAGTGATCATTATTATGATCTTCTCGCTATTCCATTATTATGATTTATTTCCACTTGCACCGATCTCTCTTTTGCTTGGTCTTTTTACATTACAGGTTTTAGTTGCCAGTCTCGCTTATCTCATTCTGGTTTGCCCCCCTTACATTTTGTCTACATATTTGGGCATCTGCCAACACTTTAAATGTCAGTTCTACATATCCTAATTTAAATGTCAGATCTGCATATTCTAATTGCCCTTTGGAAATGTACATGATATAATCTCTTGTGTTGATCATTTGTCATTTTAGTTTCATCAGTTTATCTTTTCTCTCTATTATCTCTATTCCACTGAATTCTTGGTCTGTTGTAATTGGAAGATTGCAATGAATATTAAAACCAAGTCACTCCCCTCTGTTGGAGCAAAGTATATTTCATGGCACTGGGTTTTCACAGTTGGATTTTATCCAAATGAAATTATTAACCACTACAAAGCTAGATTGATAAAAAAATGCTACACACAAGTTTATAGCATTGACTTACTTTTTACTTGCATAATTCTATTCACCTTTTTTTCTATGGGCATTAATAGTGGACTTTATTCCACATAATGTCAGCAATGATTTTCCTTTTGGAGAATTGTCAAAATATGCTTAAATGGAGCAACCTCTAAAGTATGTTGCTTAGACTTTAGAAAACTATGTGTGTTGAAAACAAAGTTATTATGTCTAGTTTGATAAATTCGATAAAATCTTTATTTATATTGGTCTTCAAAGTAGCTTGATCAATTACTTCATCTTCATTTCCCTTTTTTCTTTGGTATAATGGTCATTTTGCATATATTGATTACATTCTTCTCTCTGGAAATGATGCTTTTGGTTTGAGGAAATAAAGCATCATCAAAATATTTTTTCTACTAATTATTTGAGGCGTATAAATAATTTATAGTCATCAAATTTGCTTAATATTGAGATCATATTTTCTCTTTCAAAAGTAATATGCCACATAATAGCTTTGGAGTGTTGAGTTTCCGAGGTGTAATCTGATTGACTCCCCTAGGAGACTCTACAGACATCCAGTTATGATGAAAGCTTTGAAGATGCTTCTTATTATTGATGTATGCTTGATTAGCTGATCCAATGATAATGGAAGTTTTGACGATACTTCTTATTATTGATGTATGGTTGATATGCTCGTCTATCTTACAATTCTTCCATTTGATACTTTTTCTGCTATGATATGATTGGTTAGCACATGCAAATTCTAACTATCTTAAGAATTTTAGAACATATAGAAGGTCTGGGTGAAAAAGTTTGGTTCATCAAAATATGATCATTTAAAATTTAAAGTTTTTTGTTGGTGATAACTATGTTTAGATTCATTGATCGTCAAAGGTTAATTTAGGATATCATATTTTTATGGAAATAATATTTCATGAGGATTAAAAAGCAGTTCTTTTTGCTAGATATAGTTTTGAAGTTGAATGTGAATTGTAAGGATCAAAATTTTAATAAATAATTTGGCTTTGCGGTAGTTTAGTCCTTGGTTCTTAATTATGATAATCATACCACAATTCACATTGTTAGCAAACTTATTTTTCATAAAAAAACTAAATATTTTATAGTTGATTATTACTTCCTTAGTGATGCAATTCTAATTATCTTCACTTCATATCTCTTTGGTGCAGAGTAAATAGTATAGTTTTGTAAACGCTCGAGGATCTTTGCAGCTGGCAAGTACTCTTTCATATTTGTCCTATAACTTGAGAAAGTGTATTATCTTAAAGTTGTTACCAAATTGGAAATATTTAAGTTTTCAATATTTTTTTCTTATCTTTTTAATATATCCTGAAATTTGAGGATATTCTTTTTTTTTTTGTATTATTTTCCTCATTTTTACCTCTTGTAATTGTGTGTATATGGACACATGTATCCGTGATTGAATCAATCAAGAAGTCTTAGCTGTCTCAGTACTGACATTCAAATGTTTTGACACAGGTTATCCAAGAGTGGCCAGGCTTACCTCATGGTGTCAAATTTGATCCGACTGATCATGAGCTTCTGTGGCATTTGATCGCTAAAGTTGGAAAATCAGGTGGAAGTCCTCATCCTTTCATAAATGAGTTTATCCCAACAGTCGAAAAGGATGATGGAATATGCTATACACATCCTCAGAAATTACCAGGTGACTGATTACCTGAAACTTCCTTTTTAATGTTGCATTTTACATTCATTTGAACAAGAATTTTTTTTTTCCTGTAATTTTTATTTCAGGAGTTAAAATGGATGGGAGTGTTACTCACTTTTTTCATAGAACGTTCAAGGCATACAACACTGGGACTCGCAAGCGTCGTAAGATAAACACCGAGGATCATGGGGATGTTCGCTGGCACAAAACAGGAAAGACAAAACCAGTGGTTTTAGATGGGGACCAACAGGGATGTAAAAAAATTATGGTTCTGTATGCCAGTGCTGTCAAGGGAGGCAAAGCTGAGAAGACTAATTGGGTGATGCACCAGTACCACCTTGGCACTGGTGAGGACGAAAAAGATGGCGAATTCGTTGTCTCTAAAATATTTTATCAGCAACAGTTCAAACCATTTGAAAGAGGCAGAGTAGAACCAATCATTGAGAATGAAGAGACAGGTAGTGGAGAAATGGAAACTGTGATGTGTGCCGGATCTTCAACTCCTGATTATCATGGGGAAAACCAACATCTGATCAAAATCTCTGAGATCTCTGATCAGGCTGATCTTATCCAAGTAAACATATTTTCCGGCCTAACTTCTCTTTGTGCTATATATGCCATTCTTCAGCCTTTTGCTGTTTTACATAATTGCAGACTTACTCAGCAGAAAACTAGCTTTCTTTTTACTAGCTCATTTGAAATGCACTTTTTTTTTTGTATTGTTTTGAACTTTTGAAATAAATTAGAACAATGAATCCAAATTGAATAAATACATGATAAAATTTCAGGTTTAATTAGACTTAATAACATGAATAAGTTAGTAGTTTCATATCGTTGCATTAAAAGATAGATGTAAAGACACTTTGTTTATCTTCATATGGATGGGCTATAGACAATACAATACTCCAGTGCAACTGTTCATCATGGCAACAATTTGTAGGCTTCTCAAACATTTCTATAAGCTGTTTACTCTATTGGAAAATTATAGACTTTAGGGCAGGAAATTTTCTATTTAGTTTATTTATTTATATTTCTTATGAAGTTCTCTATTCGGTTGAAGCCTTAGAGATTCAGTCTCTTTGGCTTGCTCTCTTGAATCTGTCTGCAGGTGATACCCAGTCTAAAATGCTCAACTTTAAGCATTATCCCATCAAATCTATTCAACCCTAATCTGAACATGTACGCCACAAATTCTTATCGAATAAGACATTCATATGTGACAAGGAAGTGATGCATGACACTTGAGCTCGAGGGTTATTGATTCAGCAATAGGGATTAAATCATTGTAAATTATGCAAAAGAAATATTGATTTATAGATCAAATACTAGCAATTACATAAAAATCACTAATTTTAGGTTAAAACTTGAAAATATGAAGAATCCAAAACCAATCTGAAAAAAATGATTAATTGATTCAAAGAAATCAGCGATAAACTCAAACAATGAAATTTAGTGAGTGATTCAATTTTTTCATCCATTTCGAAGTTTGGTTACGAATTTGATCAAAATTAGGACTCTTGTAACACCAATAAGAAAATTTAGGTCTCACACCCATATAATATCTTTCTGAATTGTTTATTGCATTTGCACCACAATAGAAGTCCTACATATAACCAATAGAGCACTCCCTATTAGGCATGGATAAAGATAAAGATGTTGATGACGTTGGTCATATTATCCTTTATCAAAGAAATTCAATCTCATCTTTAATTTTGCTCAGACTTTAAATTCATCAATACTAAAAAAAATAATAGATATGCTCGGTGGATTGTATACTTCTAAGATTACAACTATTCTGAAACATGTACCAACTTTCAAAATATATCATTGAATTAACCTTAGTGGGCTTCTTCAATCTTAAATTCTATGCATATTAATGCGCCTAGCTTTAAAAGAAAATGATTTTGTTTGATGTGCCTTGATTTTTGTTGAGAATTGGACCTTATTTAAGGTTTTGTTGGTAGAAAAGGAATATTGAAGAAGTTTAGGGGTTTATTTGTTAAACATTTTAATATCCTATTTATGCCCATGTTATGAATGAACAAATTAAGTTTTAGAGCAATTACTTCTATATAGTATCTGAGCAAAACCCTACAACCACTGCCGCTATAGTACTGCGGTTTCTGTACGCTACAATCCCAGAGTTGCTTTCCCGACTAATCCCGAATTTATTTCGAGGGAAACATGGTTTTAGTGTGGTTCACATGAATAGAGAAAGAGAGGCAAGTAAGCACAAACAGGATGTTGGGTCTTGATAGCCTGAAAGGAAGCAATGAAAGGGTAAACAGGCGTGGAGCTGTGAATAGTGGGGCGAATTCGACACAGAAGGGAGAGAGCCCGCAGTTTCGTGTGATTCTTGCGATGTAGGGAGTGCAAAAGTCTTCAATTATACATGAGGAGGCGAAAGGATTCTAGCTTTAGTTGAGTTGGGCTCGTGAAACTGAGAAGGATCTAGGGCATACGTGTCGCTGAGGCTTCGTGCGTCCAAGAGCGGAAGGAGCAGGATAGTGAAGTTGCGGGCTAGTTTGCGGGCGTGTAGGCTTTGGCGGGCTAATTTGCGCTCGAGGCAGGAAGTAACAAGTGAAGCTTCGGCTCTTTAGGATTTGAGGAACGCTAGGGTAATTTTGTATGAGGATAAGAAAGAAGTCGTGTGTGATCTAGATTTGGATCCTTGTGATTGAGGATATCAGGAGAACGAGATGGTGCATGGGGTAAAGGATTGGAGCTTCTGGGTAAGATAGATCTTGAGATTTTGAAGGTCCTTATTGGGTTCATACAAAAAGCTAACATCTCGACGGAAGTCATTAGCTCAACAAAAGTACTTTTGATCCATGCTCTTGCCTCTATTTTCACAACAAGATCATTGGAATGAACAGTAGATTTTGGTGCATCTCGACATGTGACAGGTATTGCTAGAAAATTTTCTTTATATACTCTACTAGCAGAACCAGAGAGCATCTAAGTTGTTGATATTACAACAAAGTCTGAAGTTGATAAGGGTACAGTGAGGGGTACTAATTATATGCTTTTGTCCAATGTTTTGCATGCTCCTTTTCCAGTGAATTTTTTATTCATTAGTGACATTATTTTCCAACTAAAATATGTTGTTTCTTTTTATATTCTTTTGGTTAATTTTAGAGAAATGGATGGGTCAAACATTTGGGATTGGAAGGTGGAATAACGGATTTGGGTACCTGGACCGGGAGAGGATGGACTCAGCTTTGACATCCATGGTAGTGAATGTATTTCTTCATGGTGAGTTAATGGATGAGGTATATATGGAGGTGCCACCAGAATTCAGTACAGTCCAAACAGTGGGCAATGTGTGTAGTCTTAAGAAGTTATTGACACAGGATCTTTTTTCGGGTCGCAGCACTGTAGCTGCTACAGTACCGTGGTCCAAATTTCCTCTCCTTTCCTTTTTCTTTTCCCTCTCCCTTTCTTTCCTTTTCTATGATTCTTCTATTTTATTTACTACCATTTTTATGCCTGCCTTCTCTATATCTTTACTTTTCCATGAAATCCCATATTATAAATCATTGTCTATTATTTTACTTCATTTTTATTCTATTTCCTAATTGAAAGCATTGCCTAATATAAGTCTTAATCTCTCTTATATCTAGGGTTTGTTTTTTGCTTAGGAAACTAGATTTGGATGAGTGCAGATTTTTGAGTGCTGCTTTTGAGGCATTATTCCTCTTCTGGGGCTGTATCTGATGGCGATAAAGTGCTCTGGTTGTAACTCTTCCGAGGTGGCGACCGTCTCCAATGGTTCAGGTGGTGCTCTAGCTGTATCTCGACTCAAAAGAGATATTTATCTTTTTGCAACCATTATTGGAGTTTGTGTTGTATCTTTATATTCGTGTTATTGTTTTGTTGCGTTTATTTCCTCATTTGACGAGTCATGTTGTAATATTTGAAATTCAACAATAATATTATTATTTCTAATGTGATTTATGCTTCCTCTCATATCAATCATTATATGGCTTGAAGCTGTCTCCTCGAGACTGGTTTGACAATTTTAGAAAGACTATAGTCGACATAGGACATCGATAGATCAATGTAGGTCATATGGTGTTCTTTTGCAACATGAAGGTCACACCACTGTCCTTGTTGTTCATGTTAATGACATCATTGTCATTGGTGATGATGAGATAGAAATTACCCAATTAAATGTATGATTGGGCAATGAATTTGATGTGACAGATCCAATATAGCTTAGATACTTTCTTGAGATTGAAGTGACCTGTGGACCAGAGGGGATGGTCTTGTCTCAGAGAAAATATGTACTAGATCTCCTTACTAAAACAAGCATGTTGGGGTGCAAACTCGCATTCTCTTCACTTGACCAGAAGGTTAAGCTAAGTGCAGTGACAAGAGAAATAATTGTTCGTGAGAGGTACCAGAGATTGGTGAACCTTCTAATCTATATGTCACACTCGACCCGAAATCTCTTTTGCAGTGAGGGTGGTTAGCCGCTACATGCATGATCCAAGGAAGGGTCATATGGATTCAGTGTATCGGATTCTAAGGTATGGATTCAGTGTATCAGATTCTAAGGTATATGAAGAATGCACCAAGGAGGGGGTTGATCTTCAAGAGGAATGGGCATGTGACATTGATGGTTTTTGTGACGTTGGCTGGGGGACTTGTGCAGATGACAAAAGATTCACCTCAGAATATTACATGTTCATTGGGGGCAACTTGGTCTCTTGGAAGAGCAAGAAATAGTCTGCAGTAGCAAGGTCAACAGCAGAGACAGAGTGCAGGGCCATGACCTTATGATGTGGCTGAGAGCCTTGTTGATTGTGATCAAGGTGGACCATGGAACTCAAATGAAGCTGTGGTGCGACAACAAATCAGCAATCAACATTGCCAACAACCTGATGCAACACAATAGCACCAAACATGTGGAGATTGATTGATTCTTCATCAAGGAAAAACTAAATGACGAGCTACTTGAGTAATTCATGTATCTACTGGAGAGCAAGTCGTTGACTGCCTCACTGAAGGTAGTTTCATAGATTTGTCTAGGTTATGTGACAAGATGGACTTAGTGGATATCTTTTGCCTATCTTGAGGGAAAGTGTTGAGAATTGGACCTTATATAGGGTCTTATTGGTAAAAAGGGAATATTGAAGAAGTTTAGGGGTTTATTTCTAAAACACTGTAATACCTTATTTAAGCCCATGTTATGAATGAACAGATTAAGTTTTACAACAATTACTTCTATAATTTTCACTTGATTTATCTGGACTGTGAGGATATGTCATGCACTCCTTATGGTTAGAGATCGATATCTTTTTAAAGGTTGTAAGCTTTGTTTTTCCAGGATCTCTTTATTATTATATTGTTTGGAAAATTATTGACAAGGACATGACTAGCCACGTTGGTTTGCATAAAATCATTGCATGAATGTTGATTTTAATGGTCTTCATTAAGGAGACATACTTAGTTACGTGCATGCCTACTGAGAAAACTGTTAGGCAGTGTTGCTTAGTATACTTCTTGTCCTCACTCTTTGGATTGACTTTTCCATAAATTTTACATTAGGATTACATAGAACTATAAGATGCCATTATCACATATTAATTATAGTGGCTAGATTTTCTAAATTGGTTTATTCTTATTCATTTTCAAAAAATATTGATGCACCTTATATCGTTAATAATTTT